CCCCAGGGCGCTGCGGGCGCCGGCTGGCCCTTAAGGCCTGCGGGGAGGGCTCAGTGCCCCGGGTTAGCTCGCCGTCGGGAAGCTGTGGGTAGTAGGTGCTGCCATATGCTGTTTTCTGCCTCTTGGGCATCTCGACGTTTGGATGTCAGTGGAAGGTCGTTTGACAACTGAATGGCTTTTGCCACTCTCATTTCGCGCCTCAGAGCTGAGGAACCTGACAGTTCCCAGCACTCGACTCCCAGCCTCGCAAAATTTCTTCTTTAAGGTAGGTAGGTAACCACTTTCCGCGGCAGGGAAGAAGAGCTGCTGACAGGGGATGTGATTTTCTACAACAGCGTGAGAAGTGAGCAGCCCAGCTCCACCAGAAGCCAGCTAGGGCTGTGCAGTGACCCACGGGAATGTGCTCTGTTTCAGTGTCGCGTGTTCGCGCCATGGGGCTATGAACAGTCTTCTTGTGAAAAACCTGAGATGGCAGGTGGGAAACAGCTGCTAGTGTGGCTTCTAGGTCTGCCATTTCTCTTAGCCGTTTTATATCTGTAAGTACTTCCAGTTGTATACTCTGCGCTCTTGTCGATGGAATTGAGCTTTCATTGTTATGTTGGACAACACCTACAGCTACTGGAAGAATAATCTTGGTGAAATTAGAAACATGCAGAGCCAGTCACAGAGAGAGGAGCACAAAGATTAGCGGAGAGCAGAGCCTCTTGCTTTTCTCTTGCTCTCTGAATCCAACACAGACTGATACAGATGTAATCTTTTTCTCCTTTTACAGTCACGTTCTGGGGGGGGGGGGGGGCTCACATGAACTGATTTTTAGCAAATAGATATTCACATCAAAGGCAAGTTGATCCCTTGTTGACAACAGTTTCAGGTTGAATGGACTCTGCCTTCCCTCCTGAAAAAGGGACTTCCAGGGCAGAGCTGAGGTGTAAGGAATGTTGTGCTGGTATATTTGTTGTGTGACCAAGCACAAACCCAGATAATGTGTTGTCTTTCACAGCAGTACACTATGCGCATTTAAACAAAATACTCAGGTTCTTGTTACATAGAAGTTATATCACAGGCAGGTTGAAAGTTGTAAAATCTCATTGTCATTGATTTTTATCTTCAAATCATCTCTTTGATTCTTTGAGCAAGGCCAGGTTGCTTAGATATTGCTGCCAGATAACCTTCAAAATTATCTTGTGATGACTCACTGCTCTGATAAACTTTATTGACAGGCTCACAAATCAATGCCTGCCGATTAACACAAGATGAAGAAAGAAAGCCCTGTCCTGCAAGTTTTGGCTTTAGGAAGTTTCTGTTTTGTCAGTATTATGAGCTTTTTGTTCTGCAGAGATGTAAAAGCTATATGCAAATTGTCTTTCCCTTTCTGGAATTAAACTTAACCAGTTTTTCTACTTTCTGTATACAGAAAGAAGCAGTGATGGTAGTTACACTGACTGGAACCAAGTAAAGTTATGGCTGTATATATATCTTTATGATCTCTTTTACACTGGGGTAACTCTTCAGACTCAGGTAATGTTGGATGAGGGATTACAGTTTGCTCCTAAGCACACACAAAATAATATTGCTGACTTTATTTCAGAGGCTGTATTTTGACACCACAGTAATAGAGCAGGCGCTTGCCTCATACCATATGATTTCACTCTTTTTTTTTTTACCTGAGCACTTGCAAAAATAGATGATCTCCTCTTGCTCTGAGCAGCTAATTAGGAGTTGAGCTTTGGGACTTGCTTCCAACAGGAAGATATCTGAGTTGGATGTTTCTTCGGTTTTTGATATCTTGAGCACACCAGCACAGCAGGATGTACTTTTCCCTGTCTCAAGCACAAGCCTGCAGTGTTCCCAGAAGCTTGCTCTCAGCTTCCTCTCAGTGTTTCTGTGGCTTTTCCACCTTAATTTTCTTCACAGACACATAGCCACAAATCCAAGTGAGAATTTCAGCTGCTTCATTTGCAGTCAGCTCCCAAGGAGGTATTTCCTACATGCCCAATTCTGTTGTGTCCTAGGGCTTTCAGCATGGCCAGTGCTTTGGGCAGCGACTTCTATTACATGAACAAATTTACTCCCTTTACTTTCCCATTTCATGACATAACAGGACAATTTAATGAGCTCCATGATTGTCTCTAGCTCCACGATTGTCTCTCTCCATAACTGACATGTATGCTGGCAGCTACTGAGATACTTGAGCAGCACAGTATGCATACCAGCAGCACTGCCATGTGGCACTCCTGTGGTGCTTTTTCTCTCAAAGGATTCCCAAACACTTTTGCAGCCTGTGTTACCCTGCCAGTACAGTTCTTTCACCAGCATTTAAAAGCTATTCCTCCCTGCGCTGCATTATTTCTGAGTAACTGGGCACTTGCAGCCTTGAAACAGAGGGAATGCTGGCAGGAATAGAGGTGTGGGTTACAGCTAGGAAAGAAGATTAGCATACTGGAAGGGATAGCGGCTCCTGTGTGAAATGGTGGGTGTTTTTTCCCCTCTCTGCTGCATCACAGAGTAGAACAGGAAACTTCTATCCCTGCAAATCTCCGAAAGGACTCCAGAACAACCAAACACTTTTCCCCTAGTCTGTTGGCTCCTGAGGTCTGCAATGGTGTGGGACAGTTCCTGTGGACAAGAGCAAAGATGATCTTGTAGTGAAGTCACTTGGCAAAGGCAGTGGGTTGAGTTCCCAGCTTTGTTACAGACACTATGTGATCTTATCACATAGTGCGAGTGCAAGCTGTGCCTTCTCCCTCTCTCCAGAGCTCACAGCTGTGAGTTTGCATGCTTGGCATGCAAACAGTGCTGAATTAATTCTACTGGGAGAAAAACAGAAGGTGAAAAGCTACATTTCCTTTAACCGTGTAATGTACTGTATTAGAAAATCGAACAGCCAGCCACTGTGCTGAAAACACCTTTGCATTTCATCTGTAACCACTAACTCATGCTCCCTCCCAAAGGATCAAGTTCCCTACAAGGAGCCTTTTTTGAGAGATGCCACTTATTTCATGGGGTAAGAAAATAACTAAATCACTTCCAGAGATGCATGTTCTCTGACTTCAGGCCTCTGCATTGCAAATTGCCATAGTCATTCCTCCTGGTGTGATATTGTGCGTTTTCTGTGTTTGATAGCACACATCTCTAACTTTCAAATACCATCCTTCAGCAAAAGCCCGAATTATCGGGCTAAAATTTGCAAGACAAAGAGAAAATACTGCAGTCAAAACTCTTAACAGAAGTCAGTGATAGTTTTTTTCCTGGCTGACAGGAACTGCTCTGCATAGTGGAAACCGCTACAGCAACAGACTGAACTCTAACCAGTCCCTATGCAGACTTCCAGTATTATCCACTCGTTCTGAGTTACCCTGTGGCAGATTGGAAATATAGCATGAGTGCTACAGCAAACCATCTTTGAAAAAAAACATTTTGCAAGAAAGAAAAAGGCCCATCTTGCCCCTCTCTTTGCCAGCCAGGGCACAGCTTTGCATTTCTAGCACAGTCTCACCTTTGGGGGCATCGCTGTGGTGCTGCCAGTCTCCAACCTACGCTTAACCTGGCTACAGCTGTTGGGATGTCTTGCGCTACACAGCAGCCTTTTCTCCAGGTCAGCTGCAAGTCTTTTAAACCCTGTGCTCCCAACACAGTCTCCTAAAGTGCTGGACTGTTGCAGCGCTTTCTAAAATAGGGCAGCTCAAGCACAGGCCTGGGAGATGGGCCTACAGCATGATACCAGCAACAAGATAAGTCCTGCTGCAAGCCTATCTATGAGGGAGAAGGGACAGCAAAACTAATTGGCGTCCTACCCACAAGGCTAAGAAGAAAGATCCATGAGTGCCCAACACTATTCCTAGAAATATGGTCGTATGCCAGCCAAAATGCAACTGACTTCTCTGATAAGTAATCCAAAATCAACCATGCTGGATGTAGGCACAAATTTTATTTAAAGCCCAGAGGGTAACAAGGAGGATACAACCCAGAGGAGATATTAGGATATAATTTGAAAAAGCAGGTTTAGAAAAAGGGCTAAGGGAATTGTAGTCCCCCTCCTCACCTTCCTCTCTATCCCTTCAGTTTATATTGTCCAGACAGAAGCAGACAGTATTCAGGGGGGCTCTGTCCTTCTCCCCATTGCTCTGATCACTGCCATCTTTGACCTTGTTCAAAATCAGATATTGTCCCAACCTGTCAGCATTGATGTCGCTTTGACTTCGGCACAAACTCTACAACGTTTGTTTTTAAGCATTAGTCACCTTTCTCTAAGTAAAATAAATACATCTCTAGCTCTCAGGGTTCCAGAGAAAACCTTGAAAATATGGCCCAAGGACAGTGTGACTGAAGGCATGGCTTCACGTCACATCTAGTCTAAATCTAACTGTGGTCCTGCTCTTCTCTGTGTTGGATTACATTTGGATAGCAAATGGATAGCAAATGCAT